TGGGAGACACGGCGGAGCTGGGGGGGGGGGAAGGAGGGCGAAGACACAGGCTTCCGTCCTCACACCCACACGTGCACGCGGGCGCTTGTGCTTTAATGAGCTCGGTTCACAATGAAAGGCTACACTGACATTTCAGATATAAAAGCCAAATTCCTGTCGGCTGTCGGTGCCTGAGCTCTTTTCCCGAGAGCCCAGGGACTTCCCTGGGTATTCCTGGCTGAAACCCGGCGGCCGCGTTTCCCTGCTATCTGGGGCTGAAGGTCTGGAAGCCAGTCCAACCATAACGGGAGCCGAAACTCCATCCTTGCCTTGCGGTCTCGTGGACTTGTCCCGGTCGTCTTTGAACCCTGTAGTTGCTGTAAAGGGGTAGAAGACGTGATCATAAAAAAAAATGTGAATTTTTATGGTGGCTTTTTCATGACTTTGAGAGATTTGGTGGCTTAAAAGGGTATTGTCAGGTCAAGCTGGAATTATGCAAGAGCCATCAAAAGCTTTTGAGGCTGTTCGGCTTTTTTATTTTAATACCCAGGCCAGTATCTGCAGCCCCAGCCCTGCTGCGCTCTGCCGGTGCTGGAGAAAATGGAAATCAAAGGTGATAGAAACCCCTCAGCTCAGGGAACCTCTGCCGTGCCCGAGCCAAGAAATGCTGGAGTCTAAAAGAGCTGCAGGCTGAAAAGTGCAGCCTTTTCGCACCGAGTGGCTCTTCGCAGCCCGGGTTTGGAAGGCAGGGGCTGAATTGGGACCCGCAGCTCAGCAGGGACGATGCTCGCTGCTCCTGCTCAGGGCGAAGCAGAAAACGGCTCGGCAGCGGGCAGGGATGGCCGGGGACCCCCGGTGCAAAATCCAGCCGGCTCCACGTCCCCACGTTGGGAGGGGACGGCCTTGCCGAGGCTCCCCGGGGCTGAGGGAGGAGACACTCTGGCTCCTGTCGCTCCCGTTGAGCAATCAGCCGGGGCGAAGGGCCAGGATTAGTCACCCGACCACGTGTGGGACCTCCTGGACAAGACTGAATGTGGCAGATCATGTTTTTCAGGGTGGAGGGGTTCGGGCTTCGGTTGCAGGCGCTGAGCTGGGCTTTGCTGTGTCCCCTCCGTGGCTTCCAGCCCCAAACCCCTGCCTCGCGGCCAGACCACCACGCCGGAGCCCTGGTTGCACAGCCCACCGGGCAAAGTCTCACCGCAACTGCTTGCCGGGGAGACAGCAGCTCCCCAGAGCCGGGGGCAGCTGCAGGGTCCTTCTCCATATCCCAAAACACAGTGCCTGGATCAGACGAGTCAGCCAGCCAGCCGCGTGCAAGTGTGGACCGGGATGAGAAATGCTGAGCGTTTTCTGCAGCCCTCCGCCGTTGCAAGGCGGGTCAGGGCTCGGCCCCGGGC